CCAGGCAACTCCTCCGGAAAAACATCAGGAAACTCGCTAACTGTACGAATCTCATCGATCGTGGACAATGCACCTTTGGTGTTCAAAATACAAGTAATGAAGGTCTCATATCCCTTCCGGATCATATGATCAATTTCCATCGCTGAAACTATATTGGAGAGATAACCACGCCGTTCACCAATTAACACAACAGTCCGACCATCTGAAGTCTTCAGAGTAGCCCGCTTGTATTCGCAATCCAGCTTTACCTTGTGTTTATTCAACCAATCCATTCCAAGAATTAGATCGAACTCCCATAAAGGAAGTTCCATAAGATCAGCGAGAAAAATTTCTCCCTGAACCTCGAGAGGACAACGCCGAAATACTTTATTCACTAATACCGCTTGTCCTACTGGACTTGTAACTGTAACAGTATTTTCAGTGTTCTCGATCGAAATCTGAAGGTTTCGAGATACTGAGCTCGATACATAGGAGTGAGTGGAGCCATTGTCCAATAATGCAAAGTATGGGGTAGAATAAATAGTAAATGTACCTGCAATAACCTCAGGCTCATCTCTGTTATCACGACGTCTAGTTGCATAAACTAAAGCTGACTGTCTAGCCTCAGAAGCTGTTGGCCCTCTATTTTGCTGAGGTCGGGCTCTACTGTCTGTCCTGGACGCTGATCCTCGAGTCTTTCCTTGACTACGATCTCTAATTAGGGTCTGTACTGTAGTCTGCGAACGCACAGGAGTTTGGGTAGTGGTCTGCTCAAACGAAACTAACTGAGGACAATCCCTCCGATAATGACCACTAGATCCACACTGATAGCAAAGACCCATCTTCTTACGACACTCTCCTGAGTGTTGTTTACCACAATACTCACAAAGGGGCCCATTATAATACGACGAGGAACCGCCTCGACTGACAGCTAAAGGTGAGGATGCTGCAGGCCTGAAACGTGTATTATTTCTCTGAGGGGCTGAAGTACGAGTCCTCTTCCCGGACTATGATGATGACTCCATCGGGCCTGAAAATTTCTTAGATCGATCTTGATCAACACGCTCTCTACCAGAAGCTAAAACCTCCACCTCTTCCGCATCTTTGGCTCTGCCCACCAGCACATCAAATATCTCATCCTGATGGGTTACAACTTGCCTACGCAGCTCGTATCTGAGTCCAAGGGCAAATTTACGACATCGATCTCTCTCCATAGGTACCATACTGAATCCATACTTCAGCAACTTCAGGAACTCGATCTCATATTCAGAAACAGTCATGTCTCCCTGAACCAGGTCTTGAAACTGTTGTCGTCTCTGAGCTAAGTAGCGCTCTCCCAGAAAACGGCTCCGAAAGCGATCCTTAAAGAAATTCCAGGTCAAACGATCGGTAGGAACACTACTGGTCACTGACTCCCACCAAGTGTAGGCATTGCCATCTAACATCGCCACAGCACCCTGATATCTCTTAGTTGAGTCCAAACCCAACTGATCCATGCGTCTCTCTGTATCCTGGAGCCAATCCTCAGCTTCAGTAGGAGCTTCACCTATCTGTCCCCCAAAAGTTCTAACTCCATTGGCAATCAAAGTCTGCGAAATAGGAACCTCAGATACAACACCAGTAGCTCTGACTGCTCCCTGTATTAACTGCAGAAATTGTCTACCAAAATTCTCATCCAAAGCAACTCCGGTAGACTCTGACTCAATATCGGTCGCTCCTATTATCGGTGTAGTCATGCCAATACCAGCGGCAGGAGGCAGATCTGTTGGGGTCGTAGGAGCATGATCACCTATCGGAGGTGGGGGATCTACCCGTATCTCATCGATCGGATCTGCGAATCTAGCCACTCGACCTCGTCCACGGCTAGTTCGACGACTACGTCTAGCACTCATTTTGATGGATCTCAAGTTTACTACAGAAGATAAAACTTAGGGTTAGATAAGCACTTGGAGTCTCAAACATAGTTAAAATCTTAATAACTTTGTGACATGGCCTTAGTAACTCGTTTTGTAAAATATTTCAAAACCGTATTTTCAATGTGGACTCATACACAGTCCGAGGGGTTAAAAATCAAAAGCTCTGATACCAATAAATGTAACCCCCTAGACCCGGCCTATGCGTTTCGACTAAGTCTAGTGGATCACATTATGATTATTAAAGACATTTTTCGCAACCGTTATTCCATCAATATAAAATCACATTATAAATAACATGAAATTATAAACAAATTATAATATCAAAATCCAACTCGTAAATATAGTACAAATAAATAATAATTTAATTTAAAACATGTCTTCAAATTCAAAATCACAATAAACCGAGCAGTATTAGCAAAAGAGTTATCATTATAAAATCCGATATTTTTAAAATAAGGTCCATGTCACCAAAATAAAGTCAACTTGCCAGATCAAAACATTACAATCTGATTTACTTCAAGAGAGATATGTTGATCCTCCAAGTGCTCGAACCAAGGTATCTAACCAACATTATCTGAAAGGGGGAAAAACATTTTCAAAAGGTGAGCTAGGCTCAATGTGTCCCAATATTTCCATAAAATCACAATAGGTACAAATCATAGTCCAGTAATCTCACGAATTCGTAAAAGAGTTTAACTTTTTGAAAATCATAGTTTAAACCCTTTTCTGGTACACCATCAGTAGTTGCCAAAATTATTTTCCATATAGCTTACTTTATGCACATAGCAAAAAGAAAGCCGACTTAAGGATAGGCTCTGAAGCTTGTATCCTTAAGCCCAATTCAATAAGTCCATATAGCTTACCTTAAGCACACAGCAAAGGAAAGCCGACCTAATGAAACATCTTGGGGCCCTCAAGAGTCACATTAGGCCCAGTTAGCTTGATCAGAGCTATTCCATCGTAATTCAATTCCAAAATTCAATTGCATCGTGACATAAATTCCATAAATCCAAAAACATGGTAATCATATACCATTTCAAAACAAAAATTAGATAGCAGCCATATACCATAAATTATCACATTAAATTGGTGCATCCATAAAACAATAACCAATGAATTCGGTGTACCACATATTAAAACCAATAAAACAGTTCAATAATAAGTAGGGAACACACCTCGACAATAGATTCAAATAACAAATCTACTGATTGTTGGTTTCACCACGCTCTGCTACAGTTTTCGAACGGGTGAATACTGGCACACGTGGTTTAACTGATCTAGAAGAGCTGGGTCGAGCTGTCGAACGATCCGGAGAGTCTCTTGTACCTTCAAACAATAATATTTATCAGTCTCAAATCCTATTTAATTGTTCAAAACTAAACTTCTTAAGTATATACGCATTTTTCGGGTTTGACTATCAATTTGAGGTATTTCGAGTCTGAATTTGGCCAAACGGATTGCGGAATCGGAATCAAGGCGTCGAAAAACATAAAGTATGACTTTTCGAAAATTCAAATTCTTGGTCAAAGTCAAAGTCAACCACTTTGACCGTAGATTTGGAGACCTTCGGATTCGAATTTGACAAAACGGACCACGGAAACGGATTCGGCACGTCGAAAACTATCAGGATAGGTATACTCGGAAAAGATTAACGGTCGTTTAATGCTCGGTCAAAGCCATTTTAAGTTTTGGTCAAAGAAAGTCAACGGTCAACGGTCAACGGTCGGGTCGGGTCGGGTCAACGGTCGGGTCGGGTCAGACCGGTCAACCCGGTTCAGACCGGTTAAACCGGTTCAGACCAGTCAAACCGGTTCAGACCAGTCAAACCGGTTCGAACCGGTTGAAACCGGTCAGAACCGGTTGAAAACCGGTTAAACCGGTTTCCATCAGCCACTCGTCCTGCGGCGGTGCGTGTGGCGCGTGAGGCGTCCTCCGGGGCCCTAAAAATCCCGGAAAAATTTCTAAAAATTATTTTGAGCGATTTCAAGATACTTACAACGATCGGTTCAAATTTTTGAACGGCGGAGAGCTCGATTTCAAATCGGCCGAATCTTTGACTGCACCACCTCCTCACGCGCCGCCGTCTACAGTGGACAAGGTTGACACCGGTGAACTCGGAACGGCACAAGGAACACGATTGTGCGGGAGGTGTCGTAAACAGAGCAACGATCAGCGGTGAATTTAAGATTTCCTCGGCGATAGAGCTAACAAAACCGTCGCTACTTTGACTGGAAATTCTCCACGTTTGGCCGCGTTTCGCTTCAATTAATTTGAAGGGTTTGTTCCTCGCTCGATGATGAACACAACGGTGGTTTCAAAACAACGATCGGAATTCGGACGGCATTTGGATCGGACTTGAAAATGGAGGTGTGAGAGGAAGAAAATTGAAGAAAAGCTTTTGTGTTTTCTGATTGAAATCAGAAAACACGTTAGTTATAACAAACTTGCCGACACTTTTAGGAGAAATTCAGGGCTTGGTCCCTGAATTTCCTTTACTTTGAAAATGGCATACAAGTTTTCATAAATTATACTTTAGTCACTTAATTTCACCCATTTTCACAATTTACCTCCAATTTCAATTAAATATTATTTTAAAAATCGGGTTGTTACACCCATTCATCCAAAGTTTCATATTTACATGTTGGAGACCCCAGAGAGGATGCTTACCTGAAAGATCAGTTTATGCTCTTCGAGTTTGGCTCTTCGAACACTTTATTCACCCGTATGTATTTAGGAATCATCTCCATTGTCTCGTTAGATGCACCCTCGACAGTATCTGATTTCATTATCAGATTGCAGGTATCCTAAGGATTCAGACAAGCACATACTTGATAAACAAACAGAGCTTACCATGAGTCAGGCATTGGTTGCGTTCTTTAGCATTGTCTTGAGAGTCGAGACTCTTGTCCCAATTGTGGCATTTATAAGGGAATGTTGTTTTCCATAGAGGACCATCTTTCTTTATACTATCTCCCGAGAACTGCAAACTGAAATCTTTGTAGCAAAAATATTGCAAGGAACATTCTTGATGGGAGTTCTCAAAGCTTTGATGTGAGAACTGTACACCTTGATCTAAGAGATTAAACCACCTGGTTTATACATGAAATTATAGAATGGGATCTACTATTACATGATTTACAAACACTGACATTTCAGTTTCAAACCATACAAAGAGGGGGGACAAGGGTGATAACTTCGACATCTCTCCATTTAGTGAACACTTCCCTGTATATCCGAGTGTAGCCTGATATATACGGAACAAAAATGAAAAAGTTTGACTCTAATGGTTGATGAGCATGGTTACTGAATCATAGCCTAAACAAAATGATAGAAAGGTTCAAAGTGCGCAATGGCTGCCCCCTAACAATGCCAGCCTCCGGTTAGCAACCTTGGACCTGTAACACCACACCTCAAACGCCTCGGTTAGATCCGGATACCGTATATGTTCATTTTCTAACCACTCGGTCAAAATCTCGGCTTGGTTTGCAGATGGCAATGCAAGAATTATGGAAACAAATGTTGACTCCAATGATTGCCAAAGTTCACCATCTATTTTAAATGCCAAAGACTCCTCATCACCAGTCATGACAGAATCAATCAGAGGCTTGGTAATCTGCACAAAGGGAAGCCAGAGTTTCAACATGTAAAGCCGTTTAGAGGTCGGCAAAATAACAGTGCCATATCCGATTGATTCCAAAACTTTGGCCACAACCTCGACAACCTTCACCTTTATCTCAATCATTTCAACCATGGGACTTGACTGCATTACCGTCAGTATTTTATCGGATGCATCCACCCAACTATTAACAAATACCCTCATTATTTCCAACTTCGACAACAGCTGACAAACCCATGAGAAGTCGGCAAAATAGGACTTGAATAACATCATTGTTCCGGCTTCACCAACTGATTCTGCGGGCTCACATAAAAACTCTTCTAACAGTTTGCTAAATCTAGAAAATAGTCTCCCAACACAATCTTTGACCTCGGATTTTATATCCTCATCGGCAATTAAAAGAGGGGTATCATCATCTTCAGTTACCATGTATTCAAGCTGCTCTTGAGCCGAAGACTTGAGATCATTCATTAGATAAGGTGGTGATGACATGGCAAATCTAAGAGTTGAGATAAAAATCCCACGTATGGCCGATAGATTAACTGGTTGGAGACGGGCAAGAATTGGCTCCGCTTCAGAACCCATGCCCGGTACGATTCTTAAAATCTCCTCCTCCTCCGACTCTTCCCAAGGGACGGCTTCCAAGTAGTTCACACAAGCAGTTACAATTTGTGGGCAACCAAGTTGAATGCCAACTTGAAGAATGCCAAGGGCATTTTTTACACCATTCCACAAATCATCAAACGAACCATCTAGAACATAGAAAAGGCGTAGAACATTGACATGGTGATCAAAGTCCAACTCCTGGCAGTACACCTCAACACAGTTGCGTGAGTCAAGGATCTGACATGTTGGCCAATTATCAGAAAGGCGATCCGCAAAATATTTGCTCTTCTCTACAAGGATAAAGGAGTGACAATATATCCACTCGTCACGCCCTTCTTGTGTTCGTAGCCTGACAACAACATCACTGGTTGACCGGTCACCGATTCTGCTTGGAGAATCCATTTTAGGTTCCTTAAATCAACACGAAATACTATACATAAAAGGGTTGATGACAAGATTTTCTGTTATAATTGAGTCAAGGAAACATAGTTCAACCAAAAATGCAAGGTACTAACTAGTGAATTTAAATTTAAAGTGGTTGTTTACTGCAACAAAACTAGTTAACTTTTGCTAATTAAACTAAACTTAGGATTGGGCTCTAAACTAGATCACAATTGAAGGAACATACAAGAGTCTAAAATCGCTGATGTGATTCTATGCACCATTCACTCACAAGGTTTACAGACAAATTTGTTACATATGCAAGTGCCTACTTGAGCCAAAAGGTAAACTCTAAGCACAATCTTTCAACAGAAACGCAACTTACTCCATTAAATTAAATGGAAACTAATATCTCTAAGAAGTGAGACCAGGGATTTAAATAGCGGTCCACTATCAGATGCCGTTATTTAGCGTTAAAGGTGTTGTCCTCCAACACTACTTCACGAGCGCTTACAGTAGCGGGTGCTATTGCTGTAATCGGGATAAACATGACGCAACCAAAAACACGAACACAACCACAATTTAAATCCTCGCTAAGAGCCAAACTGAAAATTCATTTTACATAGAAATTCAAAATAATAAAAAACACTAAAGCAAAACACTAACTGAACCAACATTAGTTGGGAAGATCATTTGCCCATATCATAACACTCATTTCAAAATAAATAAATAAAAAACACACTTCATTCTCTTCTATGCATCAACAAATCACGATTTAACTCGAAAAACAAGCCTAATTCTTGGAGCACGATAAGTAGATTTAGCTGTCAGATAAACCAAATTTTCAAATCTGAGAACTGAGAGCCTAAACAAAGCCAAAATGGGGGCGAAAGGGTTCAAATTCACCAGTTGAAGTAAATAATGAATTAAAAGGAAAACAAAGGATGACCCAATTGAAAATGGAAGGAAAAAAGTAGGAAGGCAATGATACCTTGGGTTTGAGTTTGAATTGGCAGTAGCATTTGACACGGCGAGAAGCGGTGGCTTTGGTTCTTCCTATAACTGACACAGAGAGAGAGAGAGAGAGAGAGAGAGAGAGTTCAGATGAGATGTATGGAAAAATACCACAAGGCTGAATTTAATGGCCCAATTTGAATTTTTGTTTTGGACTCCAAAAAACTTTGGGTTTGGGTTCTGCCATGGCTTTTTCTCCCTGCTCTCAACATCGAGGGTTCTGCTGTTGGAATTTATTCGTCTTCTTGCAGGAACAAAAATTGAATTGTCTCTTCTTGCAAAGCCCATAAGTGGGTTAAATATGTTGTTTTTCTTTTTATTATTATTATTTTTTAATTTTCTATAACATTTATATTTTTTTAGAATCAGTGATAAATTTGATATGACATATAAATGTTGAGGGTTAAAATTTTTTTTATGCAAGAGGGTTAAAAGTCTTAAAACTAAGATTACCAATTCGATATAAATATATAAACTTAGAAATCAATCTAACTTTATTGCATTTCCAAGGAAACTCATACTCGCAATCTCTATAATAATCTTAGGTTAATTGTTCGGATTAATCTAAAATCCAATTTATTAATATAAGGTTAAAAATAAAAGTAAAAAAATCGTTTTCAATCAAAATATTTTTACTTTTTAAATTAGATATAATAATATTTTACGTTGAATTGAAAATATTATAAATTTTCAGTTACAATAGAAAATAATATAAACTTTTATATTTTTTAATTATAAACTTTAAAACCTAGCATTTATAGTTATAACCGAAAATATTATAAATTTATATATGTTTTAAGTTAGATTAAATAACATTAAAAAATTAAAATTCGTTTTAAATTAATTGTAGCACAACATAACCACCTCAATTGTTCCTAGCTCTTTGTGTATAATGTTTTTATATTATTTTGTGTGTTGTGTGATATCTTTGCTATTTTTAAACTAAACTAAAAAATTATTCAAAGATTCTTTCTTTCAGATATTAATGAATATTATTCACAATAAAAAATATTTATCTAAGTCATCGAGTGTTGGAACAAGTGGTTAAGATTCAAGAATTTGGCTTGTAAGGCCAAGTTTGAATCTCAACACCGTCACTCTTGGTGGGTAATTTGTAAAGTTATATGTAAATCCCAATTGAGTATTAGATATGCCTTAACCTTGAATTGGGAGAGCCATCCTTGATCTAAACTTTTGTGTACAAAAAAAATATTTATCTAAGGATGAAACCTATGTTTAATATAGTTTATGCATTAATTCTATATAGCTTAATATGTAATCCATATTGAAGAATTTTAACATAAATTATTCTCTTTAATCTAGAAAGTGGTTGTGATAAAATTTAATATGTTTTAGTTACTCGTTTTATATCAACAACTAATATATCATTTGTGAACCATTTCAAATCTCGATTATGTGTGTTTCTATCTGAATTAAATTATTTTATCTAAATTATGAATTAACTTTCATTATGTGTAACTCGTATCTAAATATACTCTAATTTAAGTCTCATTATGTGTAACTCGTATCTAAATATACTCTAATTTAAGTCTCATTAATCTGAATGCGCTTAGTAGATAGTTGAATCTGAATTATATTTGACTTGCAACTTAAAACAATAAGAGAGGCATTAGACGTACAAAATAATGGATTCATTCCCAGTGAATTGGAAAAAATATTATTCGTCAAACATGATTGGATCATTGAAACACTTTTAAACTGCAAATGGCTTAATTTATAATGTGATTGAGCCAACTAAGTGGCCTTTTCTCCCATGAAATTGATTGAGCCAGCTGCCCATTTCTCCGGGGATAGATCGAGTGGTGTAGACGGGACAATTATTCTTAAAAATTTTAAATTTACATATAATTTAGATATTTTTTATTGATAATATGTTTTTTTTTCTTGAAATTTTATATATTCATCCAATCAAATTTTACTAATTCATTTACATCTACATAAAATCGTATGTTGATCCCTATTTTTTTCCTAATGAAATTGATGGAACCAAGTGGGGATTTCTTGAACATTAATTCCCAAACCCCAAAACTCCCAAAGATTTCAAATCAAATCCTGGAAGATTCGATCGCCAGCAGAGGGAATCTGAATTAGAAAATTAAATATTTTTAATCACAACTTAAGCTTTGACAGTTTCCTCTCATAGATATTTGGAAGATTCGAACAATTAATTAAGCAAAATCAGATAAAATGACATCATGGCCATGGGATTTCTCAAGCCTAAGGTTTCGGCAGTTGTGTTGCCGACATTTTCTCAGCAGATTACTTTGATCGAAGTTTAATCTATTGGTCTTCCATTTCTACAAATTTTTAATAAATAAGTCTCCTTTACATGATGATTAGATCAACCTGAATTTCATTATCAAATAAAACAACTAGTTTTTGTAAGGAAACATTGTCGGAATTTTCCGCAGATCATGTTGGCTTTTTTCCAAGAATTGATGTTACTTTAGATCTGATTTTTAGATTGTTTGTTTCTCATGCATTCACACAGTTTAGAGAACTGAATCACGGCTAAATGCAATGTGCACAATCCAATTGATTGATCCACAATTTCAGTCTGTCTACAAGTATTTTAAACAGAATATTATTCGGGTAAAATGCACTAAAGGTCATTAAAATATACTCAAATGATCATTTTAGTTATTGAACTTTTACGACCTATATAATAATCATTACAATTTATCCATCGATTATAAAATGATCATTGAAGTTATCGAGGTTTTACATTTATTATAAAGTTGAAGTAACCATTTTTGTAATAGTTTGATAATTTGGTAACCATGTTCAGTAATATGTTGTTATGGAGTATTATCTATGTTTTAAACATTTATTCTCCATTCAACTTGAAACTTAATATGTGATTGTTTTGTTGGGAAATAAACGAGTAACGAGTAATTTCCCTATAACCAGATTAGTGAGAATGTGAAATAAAAGCGGAAAAATAATACACGAAATTGATAACGGAGTTCAGCCAATTTGCTTACGTCTCCGGACTGTTGCAGATCTTTTACTAAAGAGAGAAAATTTACAGGTGTTTACAAAATACTCACTACTCACAAGAAAGCTCTCTAGTATTGGAGAAAGAAATGATTTGGGATGATTTTGAAGCTAAATGAGTTAGGGTATTTATAGTTGAAGCTTAGGGACTAATCTTGTAAATACCCTAAAATTTGCAGGGACTAAAATGCAATTAACCCTATTACATTTTCAATAAAAAATAATTTGTTGAAAAACACCAAGCCGTTCGGTGCCCACACACTTGTTAATTTCCATTTACTTGAGCCGTAATTATTGACTTCCAACATGTTTTTCATGCATAAATAATTAATTAAGAGGTTTAAAATAAGATCATAAAAGATACATCATACGGTGATTCATAATGATCCTACATAGAAAGAATAAGGTTCGATTTAATATAGCATTGTAGTTTGAAATACAATAGTCTCGTTATGTATTTGAGGTTCTGTCATGATATGGACTTGCTATGCTACTCATAATGTGGCTAGCAATCTTATTATTTGATCCACAATTATGGTTTTAACGTGTGTGATGACATGTGATGATGTGAAAAAGTTAATATGCAAATGCATATTCGCTATTTTATCGGGAAAGATTTTTGGAAGAGGTTGAAGGTTGATATTGGTTATTTTAACTTTTAGATTATATTTCGACTGGTTCTTTTCTTATATGAGGTGTTTCACGTTTATCACATCGTTTGTTAATGAGAGCAAATGGTTTACGATGGTTATCCCTTTTGATTTAAACGGAAAGTTGTAGTCGATAAGGAAACGACCATTAACGGATGTCTAAATCTTATGTCTTCATAAGGAGATAGAAGAAAGGACAATGAAGAACAAAATTGTCCATCCCTTTCTTGGTCTTTATAGTTACACTTGGAGCTGGTGTCAAATGTAATGTCATGGCTACTTGTAACTCAATAGATTAAGTGGATATGATCGTTTGATAGTAGATTTTATTCTAAAATGCCATATCAAAATATCGTAATTTTTCAAGAGCGTTAGATGTTTGAAGTTAGCTTTTTCATAAATATTTTTCTAGAATCCAGATCATGAAGCTATTCTCCGAAAACTTTAAAGTATACATATATTACATTATGGGAAAGAAAATACTACATATATTGCATTACAGAAATTAAATAGTTACGTATGAAAAGAAAAGAAAAAAATAATGTATAATACGAACTAAATTACCTCATTGATTAAAGAAATAATTGTTATTTCTTGAAATCTTAGGTTCGAGCATCAATGAGTGCAACAAAAATGATTGAACATTCATTATCAAATGATTGAAAATATTTAAATAGATTTATTAACTCGTCATTAATAAAAGGCTTAGCTAAGTGGTTTTACGATCAACTGCTACATCCTCTTTTATTTCATACTTAAATATTCAATTATGGATTTTCATGATTATATAACTCAAACAACTTGATTAACGGAGAGATTTTATATTTGAATACGACATTTGCATGAGTTAATTAAATTAAATTAAATTGTAAACATATATTGTTTTATATTTATTTAAAAATAGTAAAAAATTTATAAAATTATTTTAAAATATTTAAATATTATTATCTGATTTTAAATTCAATTCTAAATAATATTATTTGTTGGAGATTTGAATATTTAAATATTTAGATTTGGTAAGCTGAATAATTTTTAAGATAAGTTTAAATATTTGAATATATTGTATATATACGAGGATTCATTTTCATTCAAAGAATGCATTCATATCACTTTCCGGATAAGAAAATAGTCGACCAATGATTTATGGTTTAATTACATTTTAGGCATGATAGTTTTAAAATCATTATAATTAAGGCTTGTTTCTTTCAAAATATTATGGTTTGTTTTTTTTAGGATATTAACAATTTTAAAATTAATAAAATTATGGATTCACAGTTTTTCTGATTTAATTATTTCATTTTAACTCTTTTAATTTTTCTAATTTTACTATACCTCATTCGGATCTTCTCTGAAAGTCACATTCCCGCTACC